TTCTTTGAAAGTATTCGCTCATCTCGATCGAGAATTGATATATGCTCAAAGACACTTCTAGCCATTTTTATCCTCTATTTGTTTTCAGATTCTTGCAGTTTCATAAGAAAATAGAAGTTTTGATCTCAATTTCATTCAAATCAGTCTTCTGTTTTTTAAATCTTCATGTTCTTTAGATTGAATAAAATAGTTAAAAAATCAGCTTATATTTCTTTACTCTCGTCTCGAAATATAATTTATTATATTTATATATGAGTTTACCAAAGTTTTCATATAACAATTCAGTTGTTTGGTTCATTTCAGCGGAAAATGCAAAATATACGATATTCACTTCGTTAAATAATAAAGAGGAAAATTCAGGGGTGGAAATCTGTTGGGTATTTCTTGTTTTGACTCTACGAAAATTGGGTTAAAAATAATGTTTTATGAATAACGGAAAAGCTTTTGCATTCGGCCCATTGTGCATTTGCTCGTACACATTTAGAACTGTCTTTATATGGAGACTGCTTTCCGGGCACTAAAATTTCCAGTTAACTACTTCATGCTGTGTTTTGGAGTTTATGAAATGTATTTTCTCGCTTTTGTTCGTTTTCATGTTTGGGGTTTGTTATTTATTGTGTTGAAACTGTTATCTATTTCAATATCAGTAGAAAGTTTAAACCTCTGTAATGCAGAAATAACAAGAAAAAAACAACTAACGGCAACATAAGAAAAAGGAGTGATAGGTTAAAAAAATCAATTTATGATAATCCAAACCGTATACAATTATATTTTCGATTCAGAAACTTGTATTTTAAAAAACATTTATTTAATTAATCAGAATACAGAGGTGACAAAAGAAAATATGTGGATCAAGATGCTACAGCAAAAGTTTGAAAAAAAATTAACGTTCCTTATGGGACTGCGCTGGCTTAAATAAGAATTTAATGTCGATTTAGCAACTCGATGTTTACTTTACACAAAAAGTCATAGAGGAAAGGGGTAAGCTCATTAAAGCATATAAAAAATGGATATTTGATTATAAATTAGCGTGACAATTGGTTAATATAACTCCTCCCTCCTAAAGATGTTGCAAATAAGGATTGTTGTTTATGCAAATCAGACAATTCAATTTGCACATTTGCCCAACCTTTTTCTGAAGTTTTAAACTTCCTAAAATAGTAAAACATTAAAATTATGAATAAAATAGCAAGACTTAAATCTATGATATAAAAATAAGAGTTTTCAAAAGACATTTCTTTGAAATTATGAACTCCTATTTGTTTCGTCATATTGAAGGTTTCTTCTAGGTCTTTTTGGTTGATTTCTTGAAGTTCAACAATATTGTTTCGTTCACTGGAAGTTCAGGGATGTCTATTTTTGGAATCTTCAGTTCAAAATTGAAGTTCTCGTTAATTTTCGAAAATGTTTGATTTTGTGTTTTTACAAAGCATTTTTCAAAAGAAACTATCGTTGGATTGGTTGTAATATCCATATGGTTTGTCATACTTGGTTTTATTGCATATCTCGCTTTGATATAACTCTGTATTCTTGATATTGGGCCAATAAAATCTGCAATATTTTCAGTGATTCCTCTATGAGAGGTTTTAGTCTCATGATATTGCTGTATTTTCTCTTGTTGAAAATCAACTTCTGTGATGTCTTCTAATAAAGAGTTCGAGATGTACAAGGTAAATGAATTCGAATTAAACGATTCTTGTTATGCTCGTATCACAATAGGTTCTAAAGATTTATTAAGGTAATGAAGGCAATAAATACCAGGTGGCATGTATTCCTTTGCTAAATTAGTAGTTTGTGATGTTGGAATATTTGGCAAGAAGAATATTATTCTCTTTTTATTACCAGTTTGATTATCTCTTTCCTAATTATTGTGTTGTTATTGGTATATAGAAATGCTATTGAATTTCCGAATATATTTACATGTTTCTTGGTATATGGAGCTCCTAATATTGGATTTTCCATAGACATATGTATTGTTTGTTCATTTTCAGAGAGGGCTGAAACTGTTCGTTCGTCATCCGAAGGTGTTATTTGTCTTTACTTTTTGGAGCTTTTGAACTTTCTCCTATTTCTATGGGAATTTCTTTTTTTTTCTCTCTTGGAGGTATTATTAGTTGGGATAATATTTTTATTTTGGTTCCTTCTTTCTTAGGTTCCTTTTTAGATTCTCTTTCTGATGCTGTTTCTGTTGACTGAGATGATTCTGACATTGTTCTCTATTTCTTTAGCTTTCTCGCTTTGTTTAGAAAGATATACTTTAGAGTTTGTAAAGTATTTTGCTATGATTTCATAATTACCTAATGGTGTATCTTTCAGCATTACTCCTAGTTTTCTGTGAAATTCTTCATCCGAAAATGTTGATCTGGCATCTGGATCTGATTTGTGAATGGCATGAAAATGCATTGCAGTAATTCTTGATAGTGCGTCTGCATTCATGTTCAATGTTACTTTTTTGTATTTGGTTTCATAATCAAATTCGAATAGTTTTAGTCGCCATCGCACTAATTTAGAACTCGGTTCTTTAACATTAAATAGCCTCGGTTCTTCAATATTATTACCAAGGTTTGTGATCTGACATGATTGTGAATTTTCTAACAAAAAGATAAGGTCGAAAATATTTTCTTGCACATACGAAAGTTCTTTTTCAATCGTCGAATAATAACATTTTGCTGGGCTTAAGTTTCTAGATGCGTATGCAATGGGATAATCAGTTTTGGCAGGACCTTGAGATGAAACAGCTCCAATTAGTTCGAGGCATCGGTTGTCAATAAGAAAGGTTTCTTAAAGTCAGGATGTTGTAATAAAGAGTCATTTATTGATACATTTTTACAAGTTTCAAAGCTATTGAGAAATTATGCATTGTGTATTATTTTTTTGTCTTTTTTCAAACAAGATTTCATTGGTTTAATAACCTACTAATTCTAAAAATGATTTTATTTCTTTCACCGTCTTTGGTATTGGGAATTTTTTAATTGCCGACTGTCTCGTGTAGGAATTCTGATTTGTCTAATTGTATTTTTTAATTGAACTTCTTCTAGTCTCTCAAATATTTTCTTCAAATTTTTCACATGTTCATGAAGTGAAGTGGAAAAAATTATTATATCATCCATGTATACTAGACTTATTCTATTCTGTTATCCTAGTAATACATTATCCATCACTCTGTGGAAGATTGCTGGTGCGTTCTTCAATCCAAAGAGCAATCTATTAAATTCGTAACGCCCATTTTAGACTTAAAATGCTGTCTTGGGTATCGAATTTTCATGCATCTCGACTTGATGAAAGCCAGAAGTAAACTTATTTCCGCCAAGTTAATAATGGTATATGAGACAATAATAGGCTTATTCATTGAGTTGTGTACTTCAGAGGTCATATGACCGCAACGTATCCGCACCGTGTCCGTACCGAGACACAGCCGTGTCTCGCTGATGAGTTGTATCTACCGTGTTTTCTTATGTCGTAGTCTTCACATCTACGCACGTGCCCGCGCCGCGCCCGAGTGGCGCCACCGCACAACGTCGGTACCGTGCGAGATTAGTTTGGTTTAATTTTTGACGGGGACGGTGGTTGCAGGACGGACTCTCGGTATTTTTTAAGAGTAGAAATAGAGAGACTGATAGAAGAAGTCAAAAAATATTCCATATTGTACGACCAAAGACATGAAAAATATAGGAATGCTGAGTATAAGGAAAGAGTATGGACTACAATTGCTACGCACTTAGGAATAAACGGTAAGTCAAAATATATATTTTTTTATTTTCAATTAAGAATCCTGTTAAAATAGGATCAAATTAATCGCACTGCTATGTGTTATGTAATACATGGTAATACTAATTTTTCACACTGCCAAGGCCATTTCCTCTTGCCAGGTTACTCTGCCTTCTGGAGAAAAAAAAAAGCTTTCAGCTGTTCTCGCACAGTAAAGGCGGCATTTGCTGCTCTTCCACGAAGACGAGCAAGATCCCTTAGAATACACGGTCTGTCGGAAGTTTAGTTTTCTTCATTTTGACGGATTCCCTTTTCGAGCAGCTCGTAGCCTTCATTTTGTCGAATAAAATGTACAAAAACACAAGTGCACAAAATATACATTGTCAGGTTTTCAGGTTTCCCTTGAAGTCTTCTACTGTATATTCGAAATTTTCGCTCTAAAATGCCAAATGAATTTTCGGATAACCTTCTTGCTCGACTCAAACGATAATTGTATATCCTCTTCTCATCTGTTAAGTTCCTTCCAGGATAAGGTCTCATCATACCGAGCATCATACGTTTTAAGAGGGAAGGCTTCATCAGCCATAATAACCATTGGTAGTTGAGTATCAGTTCCAGGTAAACTTCTGCTGTCTGGAATCTTGAGTTTGCGGTTTTCCAATGACTTTCCTAAATTTGAGTGCATCAGAATACCTCCATCGGAATTTTTTCCATATGCTCCTACGTCCACCGCAATGAAGTTATAGAATGGATCAACCAAAGCCAACAAGACAATTGAATATGTTTTTTTGTATAGTTCCAGTAGAGACTTCCCGGGTTTTTTGGGCTTCTATTGTAACGTGTTTCCCATCCAAAGCCCCGATGCAATTAGGAAACTGCCATCTTTTTCAAAATTCATCAGCAATAACGTTCCATTCCTCTTCGGCATTGACATAACTTCACTTGAAAGGACATCCACTATTGTTCTACAGGTGTCGTGGATTATTGCTGCCACAGTCGATCTTCCTAATTTGTAGCTAAAAGAAATTGTTTTGAAAGAGTCTCCAGTGCAAAGAAACCTGAAACAAAAAAATAGTCTGAAATATTTAGTATTGCAACTGCGTAATATGTATACATAATTAATTTTGTTTGTTACAGGTGGAGGCGAGGAATGTAAAAAAAGTTGGCCTCCATTCGAGATCAGTTTCGAAGGACCCTTCAAAAAAGAAAGACTGTCTCTGGACAAGCTGCTGTAACTCTCCGAAAATAAAAATAAGAAGACATCTCGCAGTTTTTGTTACCGCATGTGGCAGAGCGGGAGACAATTTCTAACGTAACTGACAGTGAGGAGGTAACCGATAATGAAGTTTCTGCTGATGCTACTCCGGAGGAGGAAGAAGTTATAGATGGTGATGAACCTGAATCTGTGCAAGAATATGTAAAAGAGAAACCTGAAATACTAAGTCAGAAAACCCAAGAAGAGGTGCTTCCTGTAAAATCCTCAGACAAGAATGCAAAATTTGTCAAACCTGGATTGAAACGAAAACTGCAGCAGCGTCGATCGAAACCTGAAGGAACAGCTTCTAGTCAACTAATGACGTACATTTTATCCGAGAAGAAAACGCAAAAACAATCAGAGGAAGTAGCAAGGGTCGAAGCAGAAAAACATCCTGTTGATGCTTTTCTGGCTGGTATATCACCTTCAATGAAGTCCCTTAATCCCATTCTTCTAAACGAAGCTAAAGGCCGCATTTTTCCATATTACAAGAATATGAAATGAAACAGCTGCTGGATTCTCAAGAAACAATTCGTACATTTCCTCGCAACCCATTTGCACCCTCACCATCATCATCACCAGCACTTACACCCTCACCAGCATCATCAGGGTCTGTGCATTCTGTTCCAACACCATATGCATCTCTGGTATCCTGGAATTTAGAGAATGGATTCCTGGATACCATAATATATTTAGATCAGACCCAGAATTTAGAATGATGATATTGTGTGGAAGACATTCTGCATTTTGTATGTTTAGAGTTTCCTTTTAATTTTTATTTGTTCCGTGAAAATGAAATGAAATGTTGTAATGTTCCAGTTAACCTCAGAATAACTTTTTCTACGAGTGTGCGGGAAATGGCTCTTCCCGCACGATTGGCTGTGCGTGAAGAGTTTGAAATAATCATTGTGACATGGAATTGTTTATATTGTTGATACACCTATACCTGTACCGTTACCTTTTTATAAATACCTTTCAATACATTTTTAATTCTACCTTCTGTATAATCGCATTTTATTCAAATTTAACTCTTCGTAACATCAGCTTTAGTATGCTCGTAGAAAAAATATAGTTCATAACTCTTGCGGGAAGGAATTTCCGGCACTCGGGCGCTTCGCACCCTCGTGCCAGAAATTTCTCTTCCCGCACTCGTTAGGAAAATAGCTATTTTTGTTTTATAAAAATGCAAAATAAATATATGTACTTTATTTATCACGCTGCTAATTATTCATGGTTAACCTCATCCAATAAAAATAAATAACTTACCTTAAACATACCATCAACCTTTCTTTCGGTGTAATAGGGTAGTGGACATTTTTTGATTTTTTTTTTTTTAAATAATCTCCATAACAAAATAAATAGTAGTTGATGATTCTTTGATTTTAAAAAACAAAAATATACCTAAAACAAAATTAACAAATTTGTACTTATTTTAAACGCTATAATTTACAGCCCGGAAATTACGTCATAGCTGTTATGTCTTATAGCGTCAAGGCATTCCGACATTAATAAGAGTAGGCAAGAGCGCGGTCAGTGCGTCCTTATATTTTACATGCTTCTAGAAAAACATGCAGATAAGCTCGGTGCGTATTGATTGGCAAATGAAAATCTCTCAAAAAGTGGGGTTAAGTTGAGGGTGCGCCTAGATGTAATGACATACAGACGCTGATATATCTCTCTTTTTTGCACTAATGAGTAAGTGTGTGTCGAATATAGGACGAAGGTTTGATTCATTTCATACTCAAATACAACAGCTATGACGTAGAATCAAGGCGCGAAATATTTTCGTTTAAATAGTGCGTCCCAAAACTCTACTTCTACAATCGTTTTAAACAAAGTTAGCAATTTTTTCGGAAATTTCTTTCAATAGGAATATTTTTCATTTACTCCATAGATGAACAATGATCAACGATCTCATTGAAATTAGACCTTGTCCACTACCCTATTGCCACTCTTCAAAATGTATCCATTCTCTTCAGTCTCTCCTCCAGCTTAGTCAGTAGCTGATGGAAGATAAATTGTGTCATTCTAAAATATTCGTAAAATTTGGTCTCATCATCCATTAGATGAGGAAGCAACGTGTGGAATTCGCCTTTAACATATCTTGCTTTCCAAGCGTTGTCTGCCCATTGCTGTAGCTGGCGAACATTTTAGCTTTTTTCACGCACAAATTTATCAACTCGAAGAAGCGAACTGACAAACTACCGAGCGTACTTGAAGTACGACCGTCATGCGGCCGTGTGTTGGAAATGTGTGGCTTTTACCTTATTGAGCGACACACTGCCGTGTTTCTGCACGGACTCGGTGCGAATACGGTGCGGTCATGTGTGTCCAGACCTTAAAAGCTACCATTTCATTCATGACTGTTGTTATTGTCGAGGGCATATAATATGTTTCATTTTTTATTGGAGGTGTAAGAATTTCAACGCCATCAGCTATATTTGTGTTAAAATAACATACTTGAATTGAATTACTTGGAATCTCGAAATTTTGATTTTCGAAATCTGTTCTAAGTATATTGGAACGGAATTGTTGTTTTATTATTACAAAGAAGCATATTAGAGAAATCTATATTAAAATTATTTTCTTGTGATGCTTTGATTATTTATTAATTTGGGTTTGTGAATTTTTAGTTACTTTTTTTATTTTTGATCTTAGTCTTTTCAGCAAAACGTTTTGGAATTGGACAGCTTTTTGAAAAAAGGAACCAACCCACAAAAACAGGATTTCTATTATAATACCATGATATCGTGTCAAAGGCCACAACCTTTTCTGCAAAAAGATCCAAATCAATTTGTAGATCATAGCGCCATCTGTCAACATGCGAACCAACCCACTAAGTAAGTTTGCCAAGGTAAACTACCTGCAGAAGGGATTCAAATGGCTTGTTTTTTTTTCTGCAAAACGAAAAATCTGAAATAGAACGCGTGAATGGGACGTGATGTTGAAACGACCGTTACGATTTTGGTTAATGAATCGAATAATATTCATGAATATGGATCCTAATAGAAGATGTGGGAGAATCCTTCTATTATCGCAAATACTCCTTTCCTTTTATATCAAACTAGGGTTGGTTTTTTTCTGCAAAACTTGACACACTTGATTGCGAATGATTGTAAGCAGTTTTATGAAAATATCACAGATACGGATAAGATGGACGATGTTGATGTGTTCAGTGATTTTGAAGTGGACCCGTTACTGGATGAATAATTTGTATTTTGCAGTATTTTTTTGATCCTTTACCTACCTCAATAAAGTATCTGTAATAAAAATTTGACTGATTTTATTTTGCTGAAAGGAGCCAACCCACAAAAACCTAAACATTTTAAGAACAGCAATATATTTTAAATTTTTTTATTATTTATATTCCATATTCAAAAAATATGACATTAGTTGGATTTGCCTTCAATACGAACTGAATTTTTTATCACTGTCAGAAGTTTAAGCCTTAATTACTCATTTTAATTTTTTTGGGGATGGTCCCTTTCTGCAAAAAGCTGTTCAATTGAAACAAAAGAACAAAAATCTGAATTCAAATCTTCTCAGTAAATCAAAAATTAAAAATTACAAAACATCAAAAATCCTAATTATGGAACACCAATTACAAAATGTTTAAAGTCTGTATCTGGAACGTTTAATAGTAGTACCGATGATCCAAATTTCACTCTCCCGAAGTATTCACTTTTTCGAACTTCCTTCAGTCTTTTGAAATTTTCGCGACGGATTACCACTGTATCCACTCTCCCAAAATTAAAGCACTCTGAATATCCTACCGACTGCGCCAATTATATTTTCGATTCAGAAACTTGTACTGTAAAAAACATTTATTTAATTATAGAGGTGACAAAAGAAAGTATGTGGATCAAGTTGCTACAGCAAAAGCTTGAAAACAAATGGAAGTTCCTTATGGGACTGCGCTGGCTTAAATAAGAATTTAATGCCGATTTAGCAACTTGATGTTTACTTTACAACAATGTGTTTAAAAAGTCACAGAGGAAAGGGGTAAGCTCACTAAAGCACATAAAAAATGGATATTTTATCAAATTAGCGTGGCAATTGATTAATATAATTTACCTACTTGATCCTTTAAATAATAACATAAAATGCGAAAGGGTTTTGGAGTTAATGTTTACTTTTCCTCATATTTATTTAAAATGTGCCTACTTAATATCCATAATGAATTTCAGACCTAAGCACAAAGTTTAGGAAAAAATTAGGCTCGAAAACCACATAAAAGCTCCAGGGAAAAGCAGCACTGAAAAACAAAACCTGGAACGGGCCGAATGCGTTTATTTGTTAATTCGAATTTAATTTTACTTTTCTCTGGGGTTTAAAAGTTATAAATTTAATGTAAAAGTTTTGAAAAAAATGCAAGAAACATCTATTGTTTCTTGTTTATAGTACATTGGGGTAATGGTTAAAAGTTGACCACCCACTATAGAAATAGCATTGTAGCAAGCATGGCCCCCATCCTATACTGATCAACGGAAAATATCAAAATAACAACGCGAAAAACGTACAATATATAACTAATAAGCCTGAACCTATCCTGCGGCCTATTCTATTTCTGAATTCATGCAATGAAACTTTATGAATACTTTTTTCTTCTTGCATTCGCAAAAAACCTGGAAATTAAATAAAATAAAACCATTTAACATTGGTGAACGATTTACTTATCGCTTGATTTCTCTAAGTCAGTATTCCAGCAAAACTCTGTAGTCTAAAATTGATATCATCCTAAACAAATAACATCTGGATGACAATGTTTGTACCTACGTACTCAGTTTCAAAACTGCAATATTTCATTGAAACAGCATCGTAAAATTTGATCGACTGACATACTTCCCAATTATTTGTATAGTCGCGACCATTCGATTTGTTGAAGGACCGCTAGCAATCCCCGTTTCATTTAAATCTCTTCGATATATGGTTCAGTGTATCCACAAAAAGATTTGCTTTGACGGCAATTTTGTTGGAAACAAAGTTTTATGAAATATGGTAATGCACCAAATTGGATTTTGCCTCTGACTAGCGGCCCGACGTCCGTTTTGTGTATGCGAATGCAAAAGTAAGTTTATGTGCGGCTCGTTTTCTGGATAATAAAATCCGGAAAACTGCTTTATTTAATCATGACTCGCATGTCTATAAATAACTTTTAAACAATCCTGCTACGTAGAAAGTAACCAAAACTTACTACTGAGAATATTGAGAATAAAATATTTATACAGTATTTATTGCACGCGAGAATAAGCAGCTAAATAAAACTGACATCTGAGTATCCGCAGTTGGGTCCCTGAATAATGGATCTCTCTGTAAGGACATGGCTTGTCTCTCTGAAAGTTTTGTCATTCAATTACACGTTTAACGAATTGAGGAAAGAAAGCATCTTATTTAAGAAACCTAGCCCAAGGAGCAACCAACTTGAAACTAAGTATATTGACTAAAATAGAGACCACAAATTATTAGGTCACGCCCGTACCAAAATCCGGCTGACTTTGCTTATG